TGTGCAGCTCAGCCCAATGCTTCTTCACTCCAGTAGCTGTAGCTGAGCCCAGGGGGCGGTTTTTCTAAAACAGAGAGAACCAGCTTGGCCAGGTCTCCCTCAAAGACCCCAGCACCAGCAGCACCTGCTCTGCTCCTCTGTTTCTCAACTGTAATGCTCCTGACTTCGTTTTCGTTCCCCCGGCTGTAGAAGTGGTAGCTGCTTCCTGTAGTTGTACATCTGTGACACCAGTTTTCTTTTTACCCTTCCAGTTATTTAGGTATCAACTTCTTGTGTGCTAATCTTTATGTTAAATTCTCTGTTCAGGTAATTGGTGTGATTTCTGTCTTCTGATTGGACTTGACTCAGTAGAGTTGTCATGAAGACAGACAGCCAAAGGCACAGTCCTTATGAAATAAACACTCTGTGCTTCCCTTCCCCTAACCTGCCTAGTGTAGCAGAAGACACCTTGCCACGCCTCTAAAGGACCAGAAGGGCAGATCCCGTCTGACTAGGAGGAGCCTGAGCATCACATTTTTTCAGGGCCCCCTTTCAAAGCAGAGGACCTCTCTCAAGCAAGAAGCATACCCAGGCCTAACTATCACCACCCACTCCCAAAAGCATGGCACCAGGGGAAGAACCATTAAAAGTCATGGTTGGGGTCCTGGCTGGGTGGCTAAGTTGGTTGGAGCATCGTCCTGTACACCGAAAGGTTGCAGGTTTGATCCTTAGTTCAGGCCCATACAGGAGGCAACAGATCAGTATCTCTCTCTAAAATCAATACAAACATATCCTCGGGTGAGGATTAAAAAAAAAAAATGATGGGTAGGGGTCAGGAATATATTTCAAGGGAGGAAAATCTAAAGGCCAGGAATCTCAAGAGACTAAATCCAAAGAGATGTGATATCAAAACCCAATATTTTAATCCCTTTGACCTCTCTCCAAAAGCTTGACTTTTCGTAACATGCCCATATCCTTGTACTTTATCAAAATTAGCTCTCTTTTTTGAGGATGGGGTACCCTCATCCTAAAGAATGTTACGCAGAGTCTACTCTGCAGCAAAAGCTACTGGTGAGAAACAAGTGTGGTGACCACCAGAGTGAGGGAAGCTGGATGATCTTTAGCAACAATCTCCACATCACAAATCTTGTGTCTAACAAATTGCGGTGTAAATTCATGTGCCCTCATTCCTAAATAGCATAGAAAGAACATACAAATCATACAAATCCTTATTTTTTAAAAGAAAAGCTTTTCTTTTTCTAGATTCTGAGTTCCATAAGCTTCATCAAGCTGTTTTATTACAACACATTTTTGAATAACACAACCCCAAATTTTCCCTCTCAAAGTATTTCTTAGAAACTACTAACATTTTATTTTTGCTTTTTGAAGCATACAGGGAGTCATTTAATGGTAAGAGCTATCATTTTTTGAGCTGACCATGAGTCAGGCATATTAGTTCAGAAAACCTAAAGTAACAGTGTGTTAACAAGTGAGTTTTATTTTTCCCCATGTAATCAGCCCAGGGCTAATAAGGCAGCTCCATATCAAACAAGGAAAGACTTGCTCCCTACTGTTAAGAAAACTTAGAAGTTAAACACATCACTTCTGCTTACATCCCATTGATCAGAATTAGTCACACAGTCACACCAAGCTGCAAGGGAGGCTGGGAATGTAGTCTTTAGTCTTGACTTTGAAAGAGTTAGCATCTACTCAGAAGTCCTGTCATATGGTATAAAATTCAGTACACGTAGAAAGACTCTCAAGAAGAAATTTTATTTCAAATTTTGCAACAAATTCACTACAGAAGAAAGTTGAATTCAAGAACAGCTTGGTTTTTAAATAAGTGCTGAAACATTCAAGGAAAATAAGAGGAGCCATTATCTAGGTAAAGTTTGATAACATCAATTTTTAAAAGATACAAAGCTTTATAATGATTATTTAGAATCAAACTTTAAAAATACATAAGCAGACCTAGCTGGTTTGGCTCAGTGGATAGAGTGTCGGCCCATGGACAGAAGGGTCCTGGGTTCCATTCTGGTCAAGGGCACAGACTTGGGTTGTAGGCTCCATCCCAGGCCCCGGTCAGGGTGTGTGCGGGAGGCAACCAATCAATGTGTCTCTCTCACATTAATGTTTCTCTCTTTCTTCCCCTCCCTTCCACTCTCTCTAAAAAAAAGTAAATGAAAAAAATTATCCTGGGGGTGGGGGGGGGAGGCAGAATTAACCAAAAAATAAAATAAAATACATAAGTGATAATTGTAGTTAATGACCACATTAACATAAAATTGAATGCTACAACTCAACTTTCAATAATTACGAGATAATTAAAATTATGCTGTCAGCTAAAAATGTTTTTAATTATTTATAATGTATCTCTTTTCATAGCAATACTAACAAAGTATTTTTTAAAATATATTTTTATTGATTTCAGAGAGGAAGGGAGAGGGAGAGAGAGAGAGAAACATCAATGATGAGAGAGAATCATTGATCGGCTGCCTCCTGCACACCCCCTACTGGGCTTCAAGCCTGAAACCCAGGCATGTGCCCCTGACCAGAATCGAACCCGGGACCCTTCAGTCCATAGGCTGATGCTCTATCCACTGAGCCAAACCAGGCAGGGCCTAACAAAGTATTTTTAACAGATAGTTAAAAACATAATCTGCACAATATATTTTACTTGAAATGTACATATCCAAAAATCCAAAGTTAAATAAAGATGCGTAATTGTGAGACCCTACATCATTTCTTTAGTGAAAATGTTACGGGTAGAATGAGGAACAATAAAGATAATGAGATGGAAAAATGCTGGCGTGGATGTCAGTTTTATCACTTAGAGGAAATTACCTACCTGTCTGGGCCTCACTTTCTAAATCTTTATGAACTGAGAAGTCTGAGCTTATGGATATCAAGCCCTATTATGAGGCAGAGCTTATTTAAGGAATTTTCTAAGGGAACTTGTCCAGGAAAAGTTAGTCGAATGAAGCAAGATCGTTTGAAACCAGGAAATCTGATTCACCTTAGAATAAAAATTGTCCTTACGAATATAGTCCAATCTCCAAAATTGTTAGTTCATGTGTGTTTGTCTGTGTGTGCGCATAAGACTAGCATTTCCCAAGTTTTCACGGTCCTCAGAACAGCAACATGTCTAGGTCCACAGTGATGGCCGGAGACTGGCCCAGGGAATCACTGCACTCCTCGTTTCCGCAGTCTCCCTGCAGATATGTGCGGTCATAGCAATGTACGTGACCATGAACCCTCTCCTTTCCAGAAGTATCTTCAGGGATTACTTTTCAGGAGAGTGTGCTTTGGTACTATTGACTCAGGCTGACTACAAATATTACACAGATGAATGCATTTTCTGACCAATCAAGCCAGAATGCACTCGTCTTTTAGGCATTTCTCCCATAAAACATTTACTCTGGTTCCTCTCAATAAATAATAACCCATGCATTCATTTGTGTATTTAATCAGACCATGGCCCTGTGTTTAGAAAGGATTTTAAATGAAGGAAAAATATGTTGGCCAAGGAGGAACAATGTCTATTAAACCTTGTCTATCTTAAGACTAGAGAATTTGGGAATTCATGATTTCTGAGTACATGCAATAAAATATTCATGTTCATCAACATTTTAGACATAACTGTGTTGTCAAGTTAATTAAAAAAAAAAAATCTGAACTCCAGTAATTCTCAGTTATGTGCCCAAATACTTGTGGTGATTTAAAGAGAAAAGTGCAAGTCCCTTCCATCCATTCCACACCCCTTCTGATTTAATAGGTCCGGAGGTGGCTCAGACATCTGTAATTTTTAAAGCCCTGTATGTGATTGTGACAGGCAGCCATGACTGAAATCCTGCGCTTTATAAATCACAGAAGCTGTGACCCTTCAGGATGCTTGGGTGCATAGGGCTGCATGGCGTGGTGGAAGTAACGCTGTCACAGGCAGGGGACTCGGCAGCTGGGTAATTTTGGACGGATCACTTAAACCTCTTTGAGCCTTAACATGCTGTTCACAAAGAGGATAATGTCTGCGGCAGATATAAACATCACATGTTCATAAAAACACATGGAAAATTAGGAGTTTCACAACTTTTAACATAGTATTTAATGCTTTCTTTCTCCCCATGGAGTGCCTTCTCCCTTCCTTGCATGTAAGAAAATATCTGTTTCTCCAACTGAGTAGGAAGTTTAAATCCCTGAGGCCTTGCCTGCCCCAGCTCCCCCAGACCGCGGTCTCGGTCCCACCACACTCCCCACCTCACAGGCCCTCCCCGCTGCTGGTCCTCCGCAAGCTCCTGCAGAATCAGGGCAACCTTGCATTTTGTTGATCACCGTGAGCCAAAGTACTATCACTTCAGCCTTGAAGACAGAAGTTGCCCTTACAATCCCAGTTACCTGTTTGCTCTTTTTCAAAGGCTGCATCTTTTTTCTTCCGTGTACTTGAGCTGTGGAACTCACAGAGGAGAACTGAGATCTGCCCCGTAATCACTACACAAGTGACCATTTATTAGGTCTTATATGTGCAGGCCCCTGGCAGCCCCTGGAGAGACACGATTTCATTCTCTCAACCATCCACAACAAACAGTATCATTATCCCCGTTGGACAGTTATTAGGTCCAGCGGACTCGAGCAATTAGCCTGGACAGGTCAAGGTCAGGGGGTGGAGCCAGGACTGCAGTGCAGATCTCACTCCGAAGCCCCAAATCCGAACCTCTGGGCGCACCCGCTTCATTTGAAGAGGCTCTGACCACTGCCGTCCCGGGGGTGTGCCAGGAGCACGCAACCTGCAGGACGTCGGTCCTCCCACCTGACAGCGAACACAGTACAGCGGGAACTGCGATCAGACTGGAGGGTGGAAGCTTCGTCCGAGAACCACTTCCTCTTGGTGATTCGGGCACCAACATGAATCCCAAAGTACCTCTGAACCGCCCGCGGGCATTCCGAAGCCCGGCCCGGCACGT